CTCCTCCTCTTCTTCTTCTTCTTCTCCTCCTCCTCTTCTTCTTCTTCTTCCTCCTCTTCTTCCTCTTCTTCTGCTTCCTCTTTTTTATATATAGAGTTCAATGAAGACCAAATGCTTGTGATAGTTTGAAAAATAACATATTTAAATTGTGCATCTGAACGCAGAAAAAATACATTGATCAGTACCGCCTTTCAGCCAAAACGCGCGCTACTGCTACACAGAAGTACATATAAAAAATACATTGATCATCAATGATCTTTTTGTATAGAATCTAAATCGTCAATAGGAATCTACCACTGATTTAAGAACCGGAGAAGACTCCTATTGCAGCCATAGATCCTACACATAGAGTTCAATGAAGACCAAATGCTTGGGATGGTTTGAGAAGTAACATACTTAAGGTGGTCAAATTCTTGTTAGGGGAGCGAGGTGGGACTAAAAATTGCGCCTGCCACAACCTATTTAGTACCGGTTCGTGCCACGAACCGGTACTAAAGGTGCTGGCTGGGCACCAGCATCTTTAGTACCGGTTCGTGGCACGAACCGGTACTAAAGATTCCCAAAGAACCGGTACTAAAGGTCACCTCCCGCCAAGTCATTTGAACCGGCACTAATGGGAGCATTAGTGTCGGCTCATATGCCAACCGGTACTAATGTTTCACATATTAGGTCCTTTTTCTACTAGTGGTAGTCTAGTGTAGTTTAAATTTGAATTTATGTTTAATGTTCGATTGTCAAGACTAGGTTGAACTTATGTTTGATTGTATGCAAAGTGTGGTCAAAACTAGGTTGAATTTATGCAAAATTATGCTTTACTCCGCTAAGTTTAGGAGATCGGCTAGAATCGACCAAAATTTAGTGGAAGTATAAATACTCCACTAAGGTTTACTTGGCCGGATCCTCCTCTATTTTTAGGTGGTTGGTTAGAAATGCACTTATTCGGTGATGTGCACATATCCTATGTCACTTTGTGACAATCCAAGAGCTTATTTGATGGCATGCACTTCTGCTATGTCATTTTGTGAGAATCCAAGAGCTTATGTGAACTTTGTGCTATGTCTTATGTATAGATGTTGAGATAACCCGATGGACATTCACCAGGTTTGGACATGGATATAATTTTCCACCCATGGATTTTTTGTGGACATGCTGAGAATGACTTCATGGATTTGGGTATGGACTTGACATTTGTCAACCCGAGCCGAACATGTCCCATTGCCATCTTGACATATCAAATGCACATATATCATGTTGCTTTACTTGTCTTCTCAAATAGTTTTAGATCATTTGTCCTTTTAGTAATGTTGTTGGCATTTTATAAGTGGGAAATTTATGGTAAAAAAAGCCATGCATTTAGACAATGAAAAATCAAAGAGCTTCTTCTGTTATAGAGCATAAAGAACCATGTTTACTACTCCATCTACCTATGTTTGTAAGTACCACACAAATTTTGATATAAAAAACTTTGACGATTAATTTAGTCAACAAAATATGATTTATATGCCACCCAAATCAAGATTCAAAAATAGATGTGGAAGAGGCAATGGAAAGAGCGAGGTTGCGATATACAATTGAAATGTTAATATAATGATATAGACATACACTATACACTTGAAATATTAATATAATGATATAGACATACACACAATATTTTAGTGCCCATATTAATGATAAAATCTTTCATTGAAATATCTGCGAAACTTATAAACCTGGCTGAAGAGAGTATTGCCTCTCAGAATGATCCTAGAGTCCGAGATTTTCGATTCTTGGGCTCTGTGATGCATGAAATTTATCAAAAGTATCATATTAAAAAAGTTTAGAAATTTTAAAAACCATCCCACATGTACATGTGGGCATGCGCTACATTTTTAAAAAGTTAATTAATAAGTTTTCTAGTTTGTGTGCTACACGAAAACTTAAATGCGTGGACGTATAATGGCAAGTAGTAAATCCATTATAGATTCACCTATTTATACATACCGCGTCAGCTAATATTAAAAATATTTTCTTCCTAAATGTTGTGTAGGTCCATTGTGAGCATCTGCATGCAGATTTTTTTTATTTCTAGAGTTTTTGAAACAACCAAACATGAATCTATTTTTGAACTTGCAAACAAACCGTGCTAAAATCTCAGGTATCAGTTACAATTATGGGTTGTCACAGGCATCAAAATGAGATTTGACATTTCTTTGGCCCCGAGTGCACTTGTTTGGGTGGTATATGAGGTGAATCGGATGCAATGTTTTATATAGCCAGCTATAGCTCCGCTATTTCTCGGCTATAGCCTTTTCAGCAGGATGGCGCTAAATGGTCGCCTTTATAAATAGCCCACAATATCCCGCTATAGCCCGTTATAACTCGGCTATAGCTGTTTTTGGAGGCCCGCCGCTATTTCCCATAGCCCGCTATTTAAAACATTGATCAGATGTCAATATCGAATAATTCTCAGGAGAATTTGGTCCGCGTTCCC